TTGGTTTTATTGTGCTTTGCTTTTTTGTGTTTCACAGATACTGCATTTTTTACAAGACCCTCCACCAGCAAAAAGATTGCTACTCGCGGAAGGCTCAGATTATGGTTAGCACTTTTTAGCAATAAAGTATTTTTTGATTAAGGTATGTACATTGCTTTTTTAGGCATAATGAAATTGCACACTTAACAGACTACAGTATACTGTAAACAGAACTTTTGTATGCATTGGGAAATCAAAAGGTTCATGTGACTCAATTATTTTGATGTTTACTTTATTGCGGTGGTCTAGAACCAAACCTGCAATATCTGTGAGGTATTTTTGCAATCTCTTAGGATCCTTTATATTCCTGTGGTATCAGTTGTAGGTTTTCCTCTTTAATTTTTGAATGTATTTATTTTGGCTCTCTCTCTTTTTTTCTTAGTTACTCTACATAATTTTTCTTGCCCTTTCACTCTCTCTTCTCCTTCTAGGATCCCTATATTGCAAAGGTTACTCTGCTTGATGTTGTCCCAAAGGTCCCTTAAATTATCTTCATTTTTTAAAATTCTTTTTTCTTTGTGCTACTCTTTCTGGGTGAGTTCTATTGCCTTGTCTTCCAGCTCACTGATCCGATCTTCATCTTCACCCAGTCTGCTGTGGAAAATCTCTGCTGTATTTTTCAGTTCAGTTATTGTATTTTTCAACTCTGTAACTTCTGTTTGGAACTTTCTTCTATTTTCTCTCTCTTTGTTGAAGATCTGTGTTGGTTCATTCTTTTCCCAAGTTTGGTGAGCACCTTAATGACCACTACTCTGTACTCTTTGTTAGGTAGATGATTGCTTATCTCCATTTCATTGATGTCTTTTTCTGATGTTTTATCTTCTTCTTTCATTTGGAATATATTCCTCTAGCTCTTCATTTTGCCTGGCTCTCTGTGTTTGTTTCTAAGTATTAGGCAATTCAACTATGTCTCTCAGTCTTGAAGGAGTGGCCTTGTGTAGGAGATGTCACTGGGGCCCAGAAGAACAGTGCCCCCTGACTAGCAGAGCTAGGCGCTCCAGGGGCATCCCTTATATGGGCTGTGCACACATGTTGGCTCTGGCAGGATTGTGTGAGAGCTATATGGGGGTGGGACTGCTCATCTGATGTGTCTGGTGGTGCTGTGCACTGGGCCGGGGGCTGGGTTGCTTGCCCGCCGTGTCAGGCAGTGTTGCACATGAGGCTGCTCACCTGCTGCTGTTAGCAGGTTTGAGAGAGAGTGCAAAGATGGTGGCTGCCAGTGCTGGCACCAGCAAGGTAGAGGGACCTGTAAAAATGGCATCTTCCAGCATTCTGTCTCCAGAGAGTCCCAGCAGACCTCTGTCCCTCTGCCAGATGCTTTAAGATTAGCTGGTGAATCTCCTTCACATATGGTCTAAGGTCTTTTCAAACTGCTGCTTTTTGTGCCAGGTCTCAGGGCAAGCAGGTCTGCACACAAGCCCTTTAAGAGAGGGATCTTCGTTCCCTAAGCACTGTGTTTCTCCTGGGTGTAAGCCCTGATGGTTTTTAAAGCCAGACATTTTGGGGGCTTGTCTCTCTGGTGCAGGACCCAGGGGAGTAGTTTGGTGTGAGGTACAAGCCCCTTGCTCTTAATGGAGAAGCGCTATCTATCTATCTATATCCATCCCAATTGTGGGTCACTACACCAGGGGTGGGGTTTTTGGCAAGAGTATGTCTCTACCTCTCTTACCCATCTCGATGTGGCCCATTTATACTTTGTTGTGGATCAGGTGTTCAACTACTTCTCAGGTTCTTTTCTGTGGGATTTGTTCCATACGTAGCTGTATATTTGTTGTGTCTGTGGGAGGAGGGGAGTTCAGGATCTTCCTACATCATCATCTTGAACCTCCTTCATGATTATCTTTGAATGTCATCCATTTAGGAGTAAGAAAAGCTCACTTAAATTAAAATATGGAAAAACATTTGGATCATTAGCAGAACGGCACCAGGAAAACCAGTGTGGATTGTGTGGTAGTGCCAGGTCTGTGACTAATTAATTATGAACTCTGGGCAAGTCAACCTCTCTCAGTGTTGGTTTAATTTGTAGAAGTGAAGGTCAGGGGATTAGATCAGAAGATTTCAAGCTGTGCTCTGTTGAAGTCTGTGAGTTGTGGTGGGGTGTGTGAAGGGGTTCCAGTTTTCCCACCCCTGCTCCAAGTGGAGAAATTTTGCTTTTATCTGATTTTTATATTGGAGTACTGAATAAATTTAGGGTTTTTTTTAAACAGGCCTTATTTCTTAAGAACATTTGAAAGCCACTGGACTAGATTGTTTGCACTATCCCACGATAACTTTTTGATACTATAAATGATTATAAATTCAATTTTTTAAAGAATTAATTGAAAACTTACTCTATGCAAGGCACTATGTTCGATGCTAGAAGATGAAGAGTGTACATAGACTAGACTACAGCCTATTGTAATCATAATACAAGGAAAATGTATATTAAAGTCCATAACAGTGCCATAAGCACAGAACTACAAAGCTCAGAGGAAGGAAAGCTCTGGGAATACACACACACACACATACACACACACACATATGCATACACAGCATATGACTATCTATATTAACATATACTATACATATGTGTTTATAGGTTGCATATGATATATATTATACATTGATATGCTACCTATACATAATATATATACATATATTTCTTATGCAACCTAGAAGGAAAGAATGAGGCAAAATTTGTGTTTAATAGATGTTTCTAGTTAATATATAGAACTTTCATCTCTCCTCATATGCTTTCACACTATTGATAATTGGAGAGTAGCTACATAATTGCTTATCTATGCATCATTGTTTCTTACCAATGTGCATTTTAGCGTCTTTACACTTGTGATGGTACAGGCGATAGTAATGTCTGTAAGGAGACAGATTTGGCAAGCACTGATTTAGCTCCTTAAGTGGACATCCGTTTTACACTGCAAAGCATAGCATGAGACTTAAGCAGATTCCATTAGGAGATTTAATCCATTTTTTAAAAACTTTTTTTTTAATTTCTAGATCAAGATGGTATTTCAGGCAGTAATTTACTTCAATAGGATCCCATAATGAGCTCAATGATTGTCAGCACCTTCTAAAGGCCCACATAATGGTGATCTTTAAAGTAAAGACTATTTTGTTCACCCTTTTATTTCTCCAGCAGAGCTTAGCAGAGTACCTTATATATAAAGTACTCAATTTTTTAATAAGAAAATGTCACCAATTAATTTATAGACAATAAACCCCTTAGTAAAAGGAGCTGGAAATCGTTTAAATTGTGCTAATAAATATCAATAACATTTTGTTATCAAGTTAGCACAGATTAAATTTACCCCACCAGGTCTAAAATGAAAAGAAGAAAATACTGAGTGTTATGATTGTACTTGTAAAACACCAGTATTTTAGGATGAGCCATAAATGCTAATGGCTCAACAATAAAGTATGAACGAACATAAACAAATTCAAAGAAAACTTAAATTTTGAAAATTCCTTGGAAAAAATGGCAAGACAGATTCTAAAGTACATACCACTGTCAGTCCTCATCTATACCAGAGGTTAGCAAATTTTTTCTTTAGATGGCAAGATGGTAATGTTTTTGGTTTTGTAAGCCACATGGTCTCTGTCAGAACTACTCAATTCTGCCATCTACCTCTTAGCAGTAGAGAATATGTAAATGAATGGGCATGGCTGTGTTCCAAAGAAATAGGCAGAGGGACGGATTTGACACAAGGACCATAGTTTGCCAACCCCTGACCTATACAGTCATGAATGATTCTTTGTTTTTCCAACAAAAATGGAAAGGTATTTTTTTATGGAGGTGTCAAATATTTTCAAAAGAATCATTTTCAAATTCTCCATTCCAAGATTGCATTTAAAGAATTAAAATAAAGGGGAGATGTGTTTTAGTTTACCGTCTATTAGCAGTAGTTGTCTAATGTAGTATTTAAACTTCTATTTTCATAATTTAGCACATATAATTGATCTCATGTAGTCAACTCCATCTTCACAAAAAAATATTGAGTATCCTCTCCATTGGACAAATACCAATGAATAATAGTGGTCTGAGCTTGTAATTTTTAATTAATAGTTCTATTAATATTTGGGATTTAAAATATTATTTTAAGCATGACTGACTTAACAAGTTAGGTTTTTTTTTTGATGTTGGGAGAGCGAGCAAAAATTCATGAACCAACTTGATTCAGAATAATGATGAATTTAGGAGCCTTAGATATTACAAACCACTAAGATGTGATTTACCTGGAACTACAATCTAAGTCAGAATTCTCAGTTCAGATAAAACATCATTTGCACATTTTATTCATTTTGCATAACTCAATAACTGCCAACTCTTAAAAATATGGTAGTGGCTCCAATGAAAACATTCACTGTTCTAAAATAACTGCTAAGCATACAAATAGCTTTTCTTAAAAGTATATCCTCTACCATATGAGAGGTTGCATGGTTTGGCAGAAAATAGCACTGAGCAGGCATTAAGACACCTGGTTACCAGTCCCAACTTGCTAGAAATCAACTAGATCTGAACAAATTGGTTGACTGGGACACATTAATTTACTCTTTTGTAATGTAGGAATAACACTATCCACCTGTGCTATGATGATAACTTGTATTAATACCTATAAAAGTCCCTCATAAGTTTTCAAATAATATATAAAACTGATGCAAAGATACTTTCTCTTTCAATGCCAGGAAAGCTGTAAGCATTGCTGTTTCTCAATTGCGGCTTAAGATTTTGTTTCACTTGGTTTGCAAGAGAGAGGAGAAAGTTCTTTTTAAAATAATTAATTATGTTTGTCATCTTTCCCCTCTTGAACATATTATAATTGCTTTCACCTTGTTTAAGCTGAATGACTGATCTGTGTTCATCAGTTTGAAATATAAGTATGATGTAATTAGACTCTATGTACATATATTTATCAATACATTTCACAGGGATCTCAATGCTAAGTATGCAGTGGATGGGACAAAATCACAACAGGCAACTTTATTTGTAGAATTTGATCCAAAAATCAAGAAAAAATAAACAAAAGGAGCTGAATCTCTATTATGTTAGTACACAAAATAAACCAAAAAAATACGTCAACATTTACCATGAGAACTTTTAAATGTATTTGCAAATGATCTGGTAAGGGAAACATGTGATTTACAACACGGGAAACTTCTGTTAACAACCATAGACTGAAATGCACTGCAAGTCACCTAGACTAGGTTAGCAAGAATGAGCAGATTGGTCGGTCCAAAAGGCAACCCCAAACACCTTCCTCAGATGGAGACTTTGGTAACTGTCTGTGGTAAAAAAACACCAACTTCTCTTCTTCATCATGTTGGGTGGTCATTTTGTCCATTTTTCTCCCATGATGAGTCCATTTTAAATCCTTCAATTATTATGAAGACACTCCAAATCCACAGAACAGCAGACACTCCCATTCTGTACATCAAGACACAACCGTTAGCCAATTGAGACAGAGAATATGAATCAATTAGCAGTGCACTTTTATATTCAAAATGACCATCCACATTTTGAGACAAACTCCATGAATACTATAGAAAAATGCTAGAGAAGGAGTAGAAAGGAAGGGCTTATGAGACCCTGCAGAGTCCTTCTGGCTAGGTTCTGCTGGCAGTGTGACCTCAGACCCCTGTCTGAGTTCAAACCATGTTTGGGACTCCCTCCTGCATTTCCAAGTTGTTCACACAACCTACTCACTGGACTTATTCCATATGAGATTCTTTCCAAAAATAAACCCCTGAAAGATAATTTGCCATTAATAAAGGTAATCAGAAGTACCACAAGAACCTAAAGGCAATGCCAAAATGGGTTCCAGAAAGGTTGGCATATTAGGGATAAATTTATAGTCTCTCATGGTTACTATGAAGGGGACAGTACATATTTAGATGTATACATTATTAGAAATTCACTAGAAACCAATTACATGTATTAATGTAAATATGCCTTTATAATTCTCCTAAATGAATTTCAAACTTGACCTCAAGGCCATACTAACTCACACAGGTCTCCACATCTCCTGGTCATTTTGTTTGCTGGGGCTGAAGGTATACGTAGGACCATGGCTCTTTTGCTATACGATATTTGATATTATCCTTTTTCTATCGGGGCTGCATCTTAAAATGGTACTTTCCAGAAAAGAGAAAAGAATCCCCATTTATAACAGCATAAAAAGACAAGGTGGGAATCTTCCACTGATGCCTGAAGCTGAGCCGGAATTTGATAGATCCCAGTAGACCAGTGTTTTGCACGTGCTCAATCACGGGAATTTTGTGTGTGTGTGTGTGTGTGAGGAGAATCGGCCCTGAGCTAACATCTGCCAATCCTCCTCTTTTTGCTGAGGGAGACTGGCCCTGGGCTAACATCCATGCCCATCTTCCTCCACTTTATATGGGACGCCGCCACAGCATGGCTTGCCAAGCAGTGTGTCCGTGTACGCCCAGGATCCCGACTGGCAAACCCCGGGCAGCCACAGCGGAGCCCGCGCACTTAACTGCTTGCGCCACCAGGCTGCCCCCTTTGGGAATCTTAAAGAGATGTTTTGCAGAGATTTGACACTGCCTAACCCTTGCTGCAAGTTGGCTATAGTCACAGGTCTTCACAAGCTTTGAAGAGAGGAAAGGGTCAGTTTTTAAAGACATGTGAGGATGCGTCATGAAACTTCTCTAAAAAGACAGAGAAATAGTCACTATTAATTAAATTCTGCAGCAAGAGCTTCAGGTCCCCACATTAGGCACCATGATAATTAAACAAAGCAAACAACATCAGAGAGCACTTTTTTCTAACATTGACAGTTTCATGAAAGAGCTTATAAAATTTTCCAGGATGAGAGATATTTTTTCTTTCTTTTATTCTTTTTAGTATGCAGGTCAAAATAGCTTAAATCAGCCATAATTGGGTGTGTTAAATCCTGCAGTTTAAAGGCAAGAGAGAGGAATATTTTATTCCGTGTTCATTTGGAATTTGCCTTTATACATGGTACAGCTATGATTCACTCAGGTAGAACGCCTGCCTGTGAGAAGTACACGCCTGCCTGTGTTCCCACGGTGCCCCTTGGACATGGACATTCAGGAACATCAGGAGTGGACGCCCTGCAGGTGTTCTCTGGCGACTGTTCAAGGCCTGATTACCCTCAGGACATCCAATTACCTTGCATTTGCATGTTGTGCAGGGAGATCCAGCCATTGTCCACACTGAGCCGCTAAGCCTCGAAATGCCGTAGCTGTCCAGGCAAGTTTTTCTGATGTCATAGGCGATGTGATCAGCCAGGCAGGGGTCACTGACACAGCGGGGACAACACTCCCCTTCCAAGAGGGCTGTGTACTCACAGCTCAAATTGGGGCAAGTGAGTGGCCAGCAATCTACCTCTCCTTCCTGTGGAGAAAAAACCAAAAATGACTCATTGTTGTTCTTATGCACAATTCTATTCCCAACATCCCAGAGGGGAGAAGGGCACAGTAATTCTCATCACTGTCCTCACCGAGTGTCCCTACTTTAGCACCATTGTGGGTACAATGCGCTTCCTCCTTGAGGAGTTACTGCAGATACCACCTCCTCTGGGGTGCTTTTGCTGACCGTCTGTCCTGCAGCCCCAGAAAGAGTTAGGTCCCGTCCCTGTGTGTCAATGGCAGCCTGTAATTATTTTTTTATCATGATACTTATGATCCTTCTCATAATTATCAGTACAATTCCACATTAGGTTTTGACCTTCCAGGCTTTGGGCTTGTTTCTTTCTCTCCCTGACACTTAGCACAGTTTTGAAAAAAATGCTAATCAAATGAATACATCAATGAATAGATGGTGACGCACTGGCTAGCGTATAAAGAGAACTTCATTTCTCTTACAGTCAAAGGAAAACTCGAAGCACTGTACTATTGCAACAACATCATAAACTGAGTTGTTTGTATTGAATTTGAAGTTGAGGTCGGGCAATATTAGGAGAACCATTTCAGAATGGTTTTGAATGTGATGTGTAGCTAGTGGACTTTCTATGTTACAGTCTGAATGGAGCCTCCCCGTGGCTCAGAATCTGGCACCTGGGGCTCCATTGAGCTGTCTGTAGTAGAAGTGTTTCCCTATGCAGCCCCTTCTGTTATCATGACACTTATTTATAATTTACACAATGTCCAATTACTCGATCAGCTTCATGATAGACCAGGTCTATCATGCTCACCAGTATATCACCCAGAGTCTGGCATATGCAACTCTTGATAAACATTTATTAAATATGACACAGGGGCCCAGCCCGGTGGCATAGAGGTTGAGTTTGCATGCTCTGCTTCGGCGGCCCGGGTTCGCAGGTTCGCATCCTGGGCGTGGACCCAAGCACCGCTTGTCAAGCCATGCTGTGGTGGCGTCCCATATAAAGTAGAGGAAGATAGGCACAGATGTTAGCCCAGGGCCAATCTTCCTCAGCAGAAAGGGGAGGATTGTCAATGGATGTTAGTTCAGGGCTAGTCTTCCTCACACACAAAAAAATAAAAATAAATAAATATGACACATATTATTCTCATGTAATTATTAAGTAATGTGTTTAGCAAGTTCAGTTTTCTCAGGAAATATTAACCTTAGGAACTGGGGATGGGAGAGGATATACTATTGAAATTCTTTGAAAATTTCATGTCTAAAATTAGTACTGATTCTTCTGAATGCCCGATGATTGGTTTCTTGAAAAAGAAACACCATTTTCCAGAATGATATGGAAGCTAATTGTATAGTTGCGTTGGGTTTGCTTGTCCTTGGGTGGGAGTTTGAAAAAATGGCAATGATTTGAATTTATCTGAGTTATACTCCTCAGTATTAGGAGTGATTAAGAAGGAAGTATTCTATTAAGATTATCTGTACATTCACCAGGAGATTTTAGAAAATTGTTAGAAATCTAGAGCACAGTTTCTCTGAATGCTTGTTTTCATACAGTATCCACAGACTGAATCATTAATTTCAGCAAATGTTAAACTATGGAATGCTGCTAATAGTTTCCATTACAAGTTGACTTAGTTGTGCCTTAGCTCCAAGTTATGACTTCCTCACAAAAAGAACATGATATTCACCATGATAATGTGTCCTGATGGTGTTCACATCCTTAGGAATCTTTGTTTGTGGTATAATTTGAAGCAGAAAGAAGCAGGTCCAGAAATTAAGCTTTTTCTCTGGACATTCTCAAATCTGATTATACCATTAGTATCCCTATATTAAGATCCAAAATAACCTTCATTTGTTTCTATAGGAAGGCTTAGCATCTGAAACAGATTTTTCAATCTGGGAAATATTAACAATAGTAGCTAATGTGCACTAAGTACTGTCTATGTACCCAGTACTATACTGTCCTTCACATACATTCTCTAATCATCATAACAGCCCTACGAAATACATACTCATCCACCTGTGTACACTGGAGGAAAGAATGATTGGTGAGATGCTAGAACTTGCCTGATCTCACAGACCTAGCATACGGGAGAACCAGGATTGAATTCTAGGTCTCTATGACTCAATCCCTGATATTTCTTCGATGTTCTGTTCTCTCTCATATTGAAGCCTTTACTGGTTATGTCTCAAGAAATCAAAGATTTCGCTCTAGAAGGACTACGAGTCCCAGGCAAGGCTCTGAAAGCTTTCAGTCTTGCAGGGATTTTTCTTGATCTGAATTTGCTAAAAAATAGCAGTTGTAAACTAACATAGCTTGGGCCAAATCTGTCCCATAAGTATGTTCTTTTTATCTTGCACAGTTTTTAAATAGTAGAATCTGAATGTCTTCAGGCAAAGCATGCCTCTTAGTTAGCCGCAGGACCCACAACGCCCTGCCTAGGATCCCAAACAGTGGGGACTAAAGCCCACAGGCAACTGAGTCTGTCCCTCCAGAGTAAAGGGACGACGCGGCTAAAGGAAGCCAACGTACCAGACACCGGCACTGCTGGCAGCTGTGAGTCCAGTTGTCTCCACTTCGATAGCGCTTGTGTCCATTTTGATCTAAACATTGACTTGTGACCCTGGTGTCACACTCTGGGCAACAGAAAAGGTCAACGCTTGGATTCTGGCAATCACAAGCTGTCCGTCGGCAGAATATCTTCCCATCCTGGTTAGAGATGAGGTTAAGGAGGTTGCATCATTAGGGAAACAATAAGATAGCGGCACTATGAAAACCAAACCTTATAAACACTTTCCAGAGCACATGGGAAAGATTTCCTAGAGTCAAAGTACCCCCTGGCCCCTCCCATTTTGTTCAAACCAGATGCATGTGTGTGTGCTCATGTGCACATGCTCTGTCTTTCCCTGACCTTGCCTGCAGAGCAGCCTGAGCAAAAATGGAGACATTTCTAAATTCAAAAAAAAAAAGTTAATATGTTCTTTGAAACTTTTTAAGAAATATTTCTTAAAAATCATATTTCTAAAAATGCATATGATCAAGAACTCATTTGAGTGGGAAATCATGCTACTATACTTTTCCCAGTTCATCATACCACCTAACACACTAACATGCATTCATCTAATTTGGTCTCTGTCTCAACTCTGGGAGAAAGCCTGACTATAACCTGTTTACAGATGCATTAACATAGGCCCAGAGAGGCTAAATGACCTACCCAGTCTCACAGAGGTACCAATTCTCTAAGCAACATCACCGGGTCTTCTGGTTTGAAAACAATTTTTCTTCTACAAGACAGCCTTTAGGTTGTTTATTACAAGGGGCTGTAATCAGTTGCCACCTTCCACCTTGAGGCAGTTCCCCAAATTATAGGCACAGTACAATTTCTGGAATAATGGCCATGAACACTCATACTTATCAAGAATTGAAGGTCAACAGCACTCAAACATTAAGACTGAACATTTTGCAGCAGGTCTCATTTGTATGTCTGTTGCTTACAGTAGCTTCTCACCTCAGACAATGAAGAAGCTGAAAATGTGAGGTGAGCCCTGTGGCCACCATTTATGGTAATAAATGCTTTGCCGAATATTTACAAAACCAAAGAATCTCAGAGCAGGAGGTACCTTAAAGGACACAAAACCAAACCTCTTGACCTATGCTTGAATCCTGTGTAGAATAACGGTATTTGAAAGCCATCAATCCTGTGCTTGAAGCGCTCCAGTCTTGAGCAACTCACTAGAGGAGGCCTTCAAAGTGTACATCTCTGTACGTGTCTGAATGTTAAAAACTGGACGTGTTGTTGCCTCTGTCCATTGATCCTTGTTCACACCCTTGGTAATCATAGAACTCTCAACACCTTCTGTCACATTTTCAACTCTTCTGCTCTTAGAAGACGGCATTTATGTCTCCACTGAATTGTCTCATCTCTGGATTAAACATCTCTAATTTTTTGACCAGTCTCCATAATTTTGAATCCTTTCACTGTTAGAGTTGACTTTTTCTTCAATAGTTTTGAATATTTCCAATAATAATAATCCACCATGATTTTAACACTCATTTTGCACTATACATTGTGCTAAATCTTTTATCTGCACTATCACATTTAATCCTGATACTCTGTGGAGTAGAAATTTACATCACCATTTCTTAATTGAGGTAGCTGAGTTAGAGAACTAAATATAATTCTTTAGTAATGGTCTGACCAACACAGAGTGAATTGGGACTCATGGTCACCTTGTTTTAAGTACCATACTTTCTTGAATGCAGCCTGATTTCAATGTTTACTTTCTTACCTACTTTGGTTATGTCATAGTGTTGACTTATATTGAGCTTAATGAAGACTAAAACCTCATTAAGCCCTATCCCATCTTGTGCAGTTAGTTGTTTGCGGGCAGCAAGTGTAAAACTTGATGTTTATCCCTCTTATATTTCAGCTTGTTAGATCCATTTCATCTCTCTTGCCTGTCACAATGTTTTCTAAATGCTGTTTCTGTCATCCACCATAGTTTGTCCTCCTTCCCAGCTTAGTGACATCTGCAAACTTGATGTCTTGCAGGGACATCTTGCTAACTTGACCTGCCCTCAGGGTCTTCATCTACTTCATGGATAACAATGTTGAATAGGACAGGGCTTGCTGAGATAAGTTTATTGTCAGCTAAAGTGGAAATCTTTAGATGCTTTACATCCTTTATGTAGAATGGAAAGGAAGACACATGCTGGCTACATATATAATAACAAGATGAAAAACACTTTCCCTCAAATTGTGTGCATTGGCTCTATTACTATAAGAAATGACAAGAAATCATAATTTTCCAAAATATCAAGGGATGAAAGATAATACATATATACACACACACACACATGCATATATACACATATGCATATGTATGTACACACACGTGCAGACATACATGTATGTCTGCACGTGTTTGTAGAGAGTGAGCAACAGACTCTAGTTAAGCAGGTGAATTGAGTAAGGGCATTCAGTCTGTCTGGACAAAGAAGTATCCAGATTCTAAGAATCTTCCAGCAATAGGCCTTTGGCTCATAGCTTACATTCCAATATTTTAGTTCACTAATATATTTTGCTCGTGTAACCATTGCCCAAAATGACTCCCTAGGGATTTATTTTAACCAACAGAAGCTAAGAAAAGTACTGATAGATATGACATGAAACCACTTGGTCAGCTCAGCTACAGAGGACATAATACTACTCTCCCTGAGTATAAAAGGACCAGGCATCAGGAACCCACATGCCTGTGTCCATGAACAACATGAAACACAGAGAGAGACTCTTTTAGAAGAGGCTACTATACATCAGCCAATGAGACCCAATCAGAATGTCAGGTTGCTCTCCATTTGCTGATTAAAAGAATGGATAAGAATAAGTGTTGGAAGCCAGCCCTGTGGCCTAGTGGTTAAGTTCGATGACTTCTGCTTTGACAGCCTAGGTTCTTGGGTTCGGATCCCGGGCACAGACCTAGGACCTACACCACTCATCAGCCATGCCGTGGCAGCAACCCACATATAAAAAGTAGAGGAATATTGGCACAGATGTTAGCTCAGGGCGAATCTTCCTCAAACAAAAAAAAGAAAAGAAAAGAAAAAAAGAAAGAATAAGTGAATAGCCTCCAGGGTTAGCACAAAACAAAGCAATTTCACATCTCATCAATTATGTGAAAATGCCAAATAGGCCCCTGTTAGTCTCTAACATGTTTCAGAACAATGGCTGTGTTCACTTTGGCTTTTGAATTACAGGGTAACTGTCAAGAAAATCATTTTTAATAATGAAATGTCACAGGTGGCTCCATTAATACAATGAGAATGCCATTATAAAACCTCAGCTCCCAGAGTGGAACCACACTAGAATCCAAATTTGGCAAGAGAATTGAGCCCACTGATGGTGAGTCATCCTTCTTGCCATAGATCTCGGGGATCATTCCCGGGGCTTGACCTCTGTCCCAGCTGGGATGGTCAGAACAATCCCCACTTAAATACCAAAGATGTATTTTCCAACCCTTCTGCCATAGAAACTAAATGCTTTATCTGCAGTTTTATAATGCATAAAGCTATAAACAATTAATAAGTATTGTAATATTTAAATTGCTTCTGAATTTTAAAAACAAGGACATACACTTTCCTAGGAAATAAAGAATTAATTTATTCTGATTATGCCATGGAAAATTATAGGTTTTATTCTGTAAATTACACATTTTATTACTGAATAGTAAACACATTGATACATTTACTCCAGATTTCATAATATCACTATTTTTCTTTCTTCTATAGTTTTGAAACTTTTAAATCAAGAAGGTAAGATTATTTATGTAAATTGATAATACAAAGCACTATTTGGCAAACTGACACCCACAGTCCAAATTCGACTTGTTGCCTGTTTCTGTAAATAAAGTTTCATTAGAAGATAGCTTCCCTCATCATTTACATATGGTCAATGGCTGCTTTCACTCTACAGTGGCAGAGCAGAGGATTTGAGACAGAGACCTTACAGAATGCAAAGTCCAGCTGGCCCTTTACAGGAAAAGGTTTTGGATCCCTGATATAACGTTTAAAACTACGAGTGGTACTCTAGACCCTTCTGTTCTACCTTCTCACATACAAATTTAATGGGCTGTGATATCCAATAGTTTTACAAAATATGAATTTTGCCTTCAGGTTGCACCCCACAAGTTCGTCCTTTAGCCCTCTCTAATAAGCACGTGGGGTAGAAAAATTTCAGCAGTCATTTAATCTTCTAATTTAATTTAAAAAAATTATTTTATTTTATTTATTTTTTTGTGTGAGGAAGATCGGCCCTGAGCTAATATCTTCCAATCTTCCACTTTTTTGCTGAGGAAGACTGGCCCTGGGTCAACATCCATGCCCATCTTCCTCTACTTTGTATGGGACGCTGCCACAGCATGGCTTGCCAAGCGGTGCGTCAGTGCGTGCCTGGGATCCGAACCGGCGAACCCCAGGCCGCCGCAGCAGAGCACGCACACTTAACCGCTTGTGCCACTGGGCCGGCCCCCTAGCTGTCTTATTTTAATGAAGAGGAAACCAGGCCCAGAGAGAGGAAATGACTTTTCCCTGTAGTAAATTAATAAGAAAACAGGAAATACACCCCAATCTGGACCTTTATAACGATGACTTTCCACCATGCTGCTTCCTTGTATCATGAAAAGGCTGGAGGGTAAGAGAAACATTTCAGACAAACTGAGATCAGAAGGATTTGGGGGGCAATGGTTCTCAAAGTGTAGTCCTCTGACCAGCAGGGACTAGTTAGAAGCTCCTGGGAACTAGTTAGAAATGCCAATTGTGCCTCAACCCAGAATCGCAGAGTCTGGAGGCAGAGTCAGTGATCCAAGTTTCACAAGCCCTCCAGGTGATTCTGGTGCAAGGGAAAATTTTGAGAACCACTGGTGGAGAAACAAAGGACCCCACCCATTGAGGAATTAGCATGACATAACCCTCAAGCTCCTGCAATGAGGAGGCAGGGTTTGGAACAGGAGGAGTATGAAATCAGGGGAATGGAAACGGAGACCCTGTTCCTTGACAAGACCCCTAAAGTTTTGAGGGCAGAATTAAACCTGCCAATATGTTCATCTTCCCAGAATCTTAGGACTTGCACAGCCAACTCCTGCCATCACAAACACCCTAGACAGGAAGGTATTGATAGTACTGCTGGTTAGGTTCAGAGAGCAAAGCATTTTTCT